GTTCTACAATACTTGAGCTCAACAATCACTTAAAAAATAAATTTCATCATAAGTTTTTAGTTTCTATCAAAAACCCACTTTTGAAACTAGTAGATTTATTGAAAAATCCTCCTTTTAAGTTTTAATATATTTTCATATTTCAAAACCAATCCATAAATGAACAACCTTAACTATCCTTACCTTCACAACCTCCTTGAAGAGCAAAACCCCTAAAATCCTTAGCTTAAAAACTTATTTGAATGAGCTGAAATTACACAATCCTAATGTTATGTCAAACCCATGAGATTTAAACTAAAAAATTCTAAATCTTACCTTAGATTTAACTTGGAAGGTTGAATCTTTTTCCAATAGGGTACTGGGATGTTGAGAAAAGGTTTAGATGGTGTTAAGGACTAGTTGGATGTTGGAAAAGTGTAAAATGAATTTTAGGGTTTGAGTTGAGTTTTATATTTCTTTCCACGCTAGAGCCTAAGAGTCGACTTCTTGATTTCTAAGAATCGATTCTTTGGAATTTCAAACTTGCAAGAACCAACTTCTTGATTTCTTGGAATTGATTAATGGAATTCTAGACTTGCAAAAACCAACTTCTCAATTTCTAGGAATCGATTCTTTTAATCTAAAAGTTATTTTAACTTGAGTGAATCGATCTTTCCTTACTTGAGGTTGATTCTTGACACTTCCAATAGATATCTAAGGTTCATGTACACCTTGGAATCAAAATCTCATGCCCTAGAATCGATCCTTCAAGCTTGGATTTGTAAAAATGACCTTTTTTTGGCTATCATTTCATATAATGCTTTCATCTAATTATCTTACATTAATTATAACATCATCATAGCAAGAATTTCACGTCATTGTAGTTGGGAAAACTCATCCATCATCCTACATTGTATGAAATAATAATTCATTCACATAATACACAGGGCTATCATACTAAAGTCTAATTAATATCTTGGGTTTCCTTTTTTATCCATTTTGGCATCCATCATTCTCCCATGAATATAACTCAATAATATGTAGAGATTAAACACTAATGACTAGAAATTTTCATTGGTAATTATCACTAGTTATAATTCTTAGAAGTTCAAAATTTTTGCCAAATTCCACAATATGAAAAAATGGGGTTTTACAATTAGTCTTAGTTGTGGTCCTAATAATGAGTCTAAGCAGAACATTTAGATTTTGCATGAAGCCTATTGATACATTTGACAATATATCAATAGATTCCCATCAGTCATGTTTCGTTTACATTTTGTTTGAAATTTATCGATATATTGAACAATGTATCGATAGATAAAGCTTATTTTGAGATTTGACAGTTTTCAAAAGATTTGCTAAAGAGGAAAAATGAATTTTTTTTAAAACTAAATCTTTGAAAATCTCGATTTACATTTCAAACACTTCTAGTTTGATTCTTAACACTCAATTTCATTTGAATTATTTGTATCGGTTCATAAACATTTAAATTCATTTCAGAGACTTATGAATCATTTTACAAACTACTATTTTATTGAAAGAACTTTGTATCATTTGGAAAAAAAATGAACTTTGAAACTTCTTGAATATTTGATTACGCTTAGGAAGTGGACTCCAAAATTGTTTAGATATATGGTTCCGCTTGGAAAATGGACTTTGAAATTATTTGGACATTTGATTATGTTTGGGAAATAGACTTTGGAATTCTTTGGTTATTTGATTACGTTTGGAAAATGGACTTTGAAATTCTTTGGATATTTAATTACGCCTGAGAAGCAGATTTGCAAATAGTTGATAAATGGTTGTTTGCATTTCTTTAAAAGTGTATTAGACAAGCACTCTTCCCTTTAACTTATTCCCCTTCCTCATATCTACTCACGAAATTATTTATAGCTCACACATGTAAGATGCATTTATTATTTCAATTAGTGGACTGCTTGGCTCATTGTCCATTAAAATGAGCTATTACTATTGTCAATTTTCGGTAGGTGTTTAACAAGGCATTCAATAGGCGTCAGCCATTTGTTTTGAGTTATGCTCCGTTGGTCTAGTCTGTTATGTTTTATTTGTCATGGATATTGAATATGTTTACATTTTGTAACGCATTATGTACTTTGAAATTGTCATGGGATGGCTTATATTTTGAAATCATCACAAGGTGGCTTTTGTTGATCTTTAAAAAGTTTAGCTTCCTCACTTTAAGCACAAAATCGTGCAGACTAACGTATTCTGAAATTATATATATATATATATATAAATATATGTTATTATACATGCCTTGTACATGATTCCATGGTGATGAGTCTCGTGATGTAAATTTCAGTAATTTGTTTATTAGTTTCAAGGCTCGCTTGGGTTAAAAGGCTCACTCCCATCAATACCCTTGCGTTGATCATGGCCCTCGGGTTTGGGTCATGATAGATGAGACCTTGGTTCCTTTGCTTAGGCAATGGCTCCATTTTTGTTGTAATACAAGAGTATTGTTTCAATAATACTTGTGACCACACTTAGTTCAACAATGAACTTTTTGATCCAAAAATTGTCCCTTTCATTGCCTCAGACATAGAGATGTATTTGATCTCGATTGTAGAATCCACGATCATCTCTTGTTTGGAACTTTTAAACTAATCACTCTGCCATTCAAAATAAATACATATCCACCACGCAACTTGCTATCATCATTGTCAAATTAAAAGCGCACATCACTAAAACCTTAACCTAGAGTTTGACTCTTATATCGACTAAGAAATATCCTTAGTTCTTCTCATGTACTTAAGGATATTCATTACTACTATCTAGTGATGTTTGCCTAGATTAAATTGGTACCTTCTCAAAACACTTAGAGCATATGATACATCTAGCTTAGTTCATAACATCGCATACATGATAAATCCAACTATTGAGACATATGGTATCTTATCCATTTGATTTCTCTTTAATTTTGTATTAGGACACATGTCCTTGAAGAGATATATTTATGTGACATAGGCAAGTATCCTTTCTTAGATTCTATGTGCTAAACCTCTTTAGCACTTTGTTTATCTAGGTAGATTGGGAAAGTCCAAGCAACCTTTTAGATCTATTTATATGGATATTTATTTCCATAATTTAGGTTGCTTCTCCCAAGTCTTTCATGAAGAACTTTTTGCACAACCAAAACTTTATAAATTGTAATATTGGTATTTCATTTCCCATAAGCAATATGTCATCCACATATAGAACTTGAAAATTAACTACACTCCCAATAGTCTTCTTGCACACACATGACTTATTCTCATTTTTTATAAAATCAAACTATTTAATTCTCATCAAAATGGATATTTCATCTCTTAGATGTCTACTTAAGTCCGTAGATGGACTCTTGAAAGTTGCATACTTTGTTAGCATTCTCTTTGGATATGAAACATTAAACTTTATCATGCACACTTTTTCTTGTAAACAATCATGTTAAGAAACACAGCTTTCACATCCATCTGTTATATCTCATAATCATGATACTATAGCAAGCAAAATCCTTTTATTCTTTTCAAATTGGCCTTTTCTTGAGTCGAGCTTACCTTTAATCATACTTATATTTCAATCACTATACTTTTGGATAGATTCTTTTTTCTTTTTTAGAAATCAATTTCTTTTTCTCTTTTTCAAAATCGATTTGTCCTTTTCTTTTTGAAGAAACAATCATGGGTTTAAAATCAATTTCTTTCAAAAGGATTTGAATGAGGTAAGATGGGATTAAATAGATTAAAATTTTTGTCCAAATCCCAACTTGCAATTTTAAATTTTTTATCCAAATTTTGTGCTTTAACCAACCAATGAATCGTTGACAAATGGCAAGATGAAACGAAAAAAAGGAAAAAATTCATCTCAATTGTCATGTGATGAATCACATCATATATCGTATGGATATAAAATGACAATTAAAATCAAACTTAAAATTCATTAACTTTTCATTACCATTTTAGGAATTTGTATAAGTATAATAAAAGAATTAAAATTTTTCTAAAGATAAGGACTTGTTTAGTTACCATAAAAGTATAAGAATTCAATTATAAAAAGTAATATAATTCAACGACTTTTCAGTTCTTTAAGCCTTTGCCATTGGTAGTTGTGTGGGAGTTAGAAAGGGTTAGTTTAATCACGTGCATTTATTAATTAGTTGGTGGAAGTAGACATTTGATTTAAAACTAAAATGATGAGCCTAGCTCAAGATTTCAACCACTTGGAGTCCAGTTAACGTAGCAACAAATCCATCATGCTTAACACTACAGATAAGGACAAAGAGAAATGAACCTGTCTTATGATGCAAATTCCTCATGTACTAATATTTATGTTTCATTTAGGACTTACTAAGTAATTTGTTTAAACATATGCTATAAATATATAAACGACAAAATTTTTTAAAAAAAATATTAATTAATTCCGACACATCGATACATGTCTTATAATTATGGCCTTTGATTTTACTTTATAAATTTTCAATTTAACAAATGATCTTTCGGATTAAATTAATTAATAATTATTTCTTTCTAAATGTACAATATATAACCTTTTTCGAATAAGTTACCCTTCAAATTACCATAGATCACACTCAATTATTTCTTGTCCCTTTGGACTCTTTTCTTAGACTTAGGCTCAGGGTTTCTATTGCTTGAATATTTTTAATTAGATTTTTCATTTGGTTAGTAGCAATTTGCAGGCAATCACAGTAGTGGGCAGAGTGTCTCATTAAGTACAAATAAAAGCAAAATGTAACATTGTAGACCCTTTTTTATTTACTTTACCCACAACACAAATTGTTGTATTTTACACAAGAAAGTTCATTTCCACATGTAAATTAAGCATGGGCATCCAAAATTCAAGCACAACGTACGAACTGGAATCATTGAGGCTCTGATAGCCTTTCAGAACCGTAAGACCAAATTATTCTGGATAATGGAAGATTTTGTTTTTACATAAACAGTGTTGAATCTCATAAGTTTTATTTATCTTTGAGCTGTTGTTATCAAGATGAAATCTAGATAATGAAGATCGGCAAGTAAAGAATATATGAGAGTTGGATATTGAGATTATGACCTGCTTCCATGCTGGGTATGTATGCAAAGTTCATGAAAATTAGTACTATATTCTAAGTAAAGTGCTTCTAAATTAAATGTTACAATGTAGTATTTTAGAATTTTAATGATCAGTTTTCATCTATACCAAATGCTTTAATGCTTTCTTTTTAACCATCACGTTACATTGAAACGTTGCAGTAGGAAAGTAACAGAGGCAATAATTGAGTGATGAATCCAAGAGAGAGCATTTTGTGTAAGTGGGCATTGTTTGTACCCTAACAAGCAGATTGAAGTAGACATATGATAAATGCGCAGGACCACATAGCACCCAATTGTAGGTGTCAAGTCAGCCACACCATGACTCCATTGCTTTGTTTGTGGGGCATTTCATCCAACTTTTAATAATTAGAGAAGGGAGAGATTATCTGCCCCTAATGTCATATTCTATGACCAAATTAAAGCTGCAAGCCACCCCACCCAAATTGAACATCTCAGGTAAAACGGAAGTGAAAATAGGCTTTTGCTTCGCTCAAACTTGGCCTCACTCTGTTTGGATTTTCTTTTCATATATATATTTTAACATTCATATCTGATCTATTGACAAAAAGATTCATTATAAGCAAACTTTTGTGCAGAAAATAACCAAGATTTGAGACAAGCCAAACCTGAAGCAACCAAGAATCTAGATGACTGACCTCAAGTCAAGGCAGCTTGGGCCAATTCCTTGGCTTAGGAAGCTGGGAGACCACCCCTTGGGCTGACTTTTGATCTCCTCTTGATCCCTAATTCTCTTACGTTTCAAATTCTGGTCCTGGATTCATTTTCTACATTGAATACAAAGTGCAGCAACAGACACATAATGTTTTGGACCATAAAGCAAATATGATTTTAAGAAGAGTTTCAACTGGGTCCTACCTTCGACAATGGGAAGAGCAAACAGAAAGCAACTATGCATCAACTCCTCAAAAAATCCTTGAATTTGTCAACCTTTTGACATGACATTTGATACCAATTTGATGATTTTTCTCCCCCTACTTATAACCCTTCTTATGCCCAAAGCAGCAAGCACTTGCAGTGGTTAGCAGACGAAAGTAGATAGAAATTGCAAAGGAGCAGACCTGCAAATGAAGATTTCAACTTCAGCTTCGCAAACAGAAGGACAACATTTAAACAGGTCTCTAATTGGAGGGAAAGCATGACAAAACAATGCTACAAGGATAAGAAAACAAATAAGAAAATGTTCAGGCGAACAGGATACATCTCTCTGTTCAAGTTAATCAATAGCTCCCCAATAGAAAGGAAAGAATCGAAACCAAACTCACATTCCAACAGTATTTCAAATATGAGTTAGTATTAGGCAATGCTCATCCTAAGACAACACAGGGACATGACTTTCATGTCCAGGAACAGTAAATGACATCCTAAGCAAAGAAGTAAATGAGAAATCCAGGAACAGTAAATGCACATCTATATTAAGCTGAAACATAGAAGGCTGATTGCGAGTAAAGGAGAATGATAAGAACCTTTAGCCATGCAAGATAGTGCCATCTTTTTAAATGTCATCCGGAGCTACTTAAGGAATATTTCAGCATTTTCAAAAGAAGCAAAGTTAAATACAACTAGTGGGAAATGCTTTAATTGTTGCTCGTGCTGCTGTTGCCATGGCCATTGCGCTGTTGTTAAGGATAGTAGCATATTCTAGAAAAAAGCTTGTATTAGATGTACCAATACTTAGTTGGAACCAATCCTCTTCTTTTTCATCTCCTCTTGAGCTACAAACATTAAGATATCACGAATTGTTCCTTGCAAAATGCAAAATAGACAAGCAAAGACTACAGCAATGGGAAAGAATGGCACAAACTCTCTATGTATGACAATGTCCTGTTATGTCAGGTGCAGATAAAGAAACAATAGCAACTGTACCCTCTTTATAAGATATCTAGTGTTTGCTAGTACCGGTATGGCAATAAATACTTTGTTTTGTAGTACAAATGAATGTCACCGACCATAAAATGGGCTTTCCTTCTCCAAAATCATCTCTGGTAGTATTCCCTTATATTGTTCTGTAAGAGACATCAGCAGACAAAAAACTCATATCACTAGAAAATCATCATCCTCCATATAATCATTATTTGGTATACTTCCAGCCTTCCTCATTTTTGCATGAAGTTCACACAGTAATGGGTAAATAAGATTGGCATGACAACGAGACTTGGCACCAGCCACAAACACATGAACTTTATTCCCTACTTCTATCCAGCTGCAACCTGGCTGCTTCTTCAATCCCTTATTCTTCATTTTCAACCTTACCTTAGCAGCATCCCTCCATTTTCCTCTTGAAGCATATATGTTAGACAACAACATGTGAGTGCCTGCATTCTCTGGTTCTGTCTCTAAAATCTTTTCTGCAGCCAGCTTCCCTAAATTCACATCCCCATGAACATGACATCCAGCAAGAAGAGCTTCCCAAATAGATACTGATGGTTTAGTGCCAAGCCGCATAATGAATTCAAAGGCTTCCTTGAGCTTCCCTGCTCGACTGCATAGGTCAACCAAGCATGCATAGTGGTCCTCCTTGACCTGAATGGACTTGTCTCCCACAAGCTCATCAAAGTACCTTAACCCATCCTCCACCATACCAGAATGGCTGCATGCAGAAAGCAAAGCCACATATGTAGCACCATTAGGTTTAAAACCAAAACTAGACATTTTTTTGAACAAGCTGATAGCCTCCCCTCCACACCCATGGTGTGCATAAGCTGCAATCATACCATTCCACGAAACCACATCCCTCTGGCTTATTAAGCCATCATCAAACATCCTCCTAGCAGCATTCAATTCCCCACATTTTGAATACATACTAATAATTGCAGATACAACAATTTCACTACACTGATAAACTGTTTTAGCTATTGTCTGATGAACCTGCTGTCCCTCAAACAGACCAGCTAAGTCACTACATGCACTCAAAACAGTCACAAAAGTTCCCTCATTGGGCTTTATCCCATCCTCTGCCAACATTTTTGAGAAAATCTTCAATGCTTCCTCACTTTGCTCATCTTGTACATATCCTGTAATCATAGTAGTCCAAGAAACAACATTCTTACGTGGCATCTTATCAAATAATTTCTCAGCCCTCTTCAACTCCCCATTCTGAATAAACCCTGTGATCATCGCATTCCAGGAAGACAAATCCCTCTCTGGCATCCTCTCAAACAACTCAAAAGCCTCATCCAACTTCATGTTCTGCGAATACCCAGTGATCATTGCATTCCACGAGACTACATTCCTCTCAGGCATCCTATCAAAAACCCTCCTAGCCTCATCAATCTTCCCATTCTTCGCCAACCCAGCAACCATCGCTGTCCACGAAATAACATCCCTTTTAGGCATCCTATCAAACAATCCCCTTGCATCCTCAACCCTTCCACATTGTGCCAATGCGGTTAACATCGTATTCCATGACACCACGTTTCTCTCAGGCATTTCCTGGAACAATTCAAAAGCCTTACCAACCATCCCATTTTGCACATATCCATCAACCATTGTATTCCAAGATACAACATTTTTAACCGGCATTTCCTCAAACAACCTCTCGGCTTCTAAAATTCGATTTGACCTCATGTAACCACTTAGCATCGCGGTCCACGTTACCACATTCTTCTTTGAATCAACTCTATCGAACAGTCTCCTTGCTTCCTCAATCAAGCCAAGCTTGATATACCCAGAAATCAGTGCAGTCCAAGTTATTACATCTTTATCTCTATCAGGCATTTGATCGAACAGTTTCCGTACTTGGCTGATTTTACCTTCTTCGCTAAGCTTAGTGATGAGCCAATTGGATTGTGCCACGCTTGAATTGGCGCTGTAATCTATACGAGGTATGGTAGTTTTGGATTTGACAGAATGGAGAGCATTTAAGCTTAGTAGAATGGTGAATTTATTAAAAAAACGGAACGAAATTGATGCTCGAGGAATGACCAACATCTCCCACAACGGATGGAAATGGATATTAACTGTTAATAACTGATTTCTGTCTCTAAGACAAAGATTATGAATGTTAATTATCAACAAGCATAGCCAATGCCCCTTTTGGATTATCACATCAACATTCAAGCATCAAATAGGTTAAGCCTTGCGCGCATATATATATATATATATATATATATATATATTGTGTTGCTAAATTTAATAGTAAAATTTGCTGTTACAGAATTTTACCAAGTCAAGTTTGACAAAACTTCATATAGATAAAACTAACACAAATTTGTTTACATTTCCATTCAATTCCGATGATGACCAAGTTACCATATTTAGTTCCTCTCCAGAAAATTTTAATTTGCTTTCTAACACTGCAATTCCAATCCAAAGTAAAGAGTTGACAATAGGATGGTATGTTCAGAGCTGTATAAAGTTTAGGCCCAAGGACACAAAACAAAAGCAAATTTATGCTCAATTTGCTAAAGATGAAAAGTTTCTAAATACCAATAGATTTGATTTTATTGAGTATCATTGCCATTTCTCAAGATGGCATGCTTGAGATGTCTACGAATGACATTTTCACAGTGCATTACATAACTAAAACTTCATAGAAAGTTTAATGCGGATTTTCGTATGAATACTGTTACATGTATACAGATACAGTTGCATGAGATAAAGCAAAGCAAACGTATTGGTAGTTGGATTATTCTTATTAAAAATTGACATACTACTGTCATTATCAATGCACAGTTGTATAAAATTACTATAATTAGTAATGTTAGGGTGAAGTAGCACCAACACTCATCTAAGTAAAGATATGAGGCGGGGCCTTCCATCAGTGCCACTCATTCCGAGCACTGCAATATTTTTGAAGAACACTTGCCTTTCTGTACAATGGATGGTATGGGGTTGACACCTCCAGTAGTCCTATCAAAGAAAATGACCAAACCATGTAGCTTTCTGCCACAGCTGGACTAACATTATCAAACTCAAATTAGAAAACCAATAACCAAGATTGCATGCCAAACCAACCAATCAAATTAAATATGATTTCACCCTTTGGATCATGTTCCTTGTACAACTCACAATTCCCTAGAGAACTCTTTAATTCTTCCTTTAGGTTTGTCCTGCAAAGATATAATAACAATGTTACTTTTTTCAGAAAGATAGCTGTATAACCTGAAGCAAATAACAATCTTTCTACCGCTATCATAAACAATTAATGAAAGCAACATTTAGGACACCAGAACATGTTAAACAAATTGAAAATAAGGTTAGCACCCCAACTTGCATCACCACAACATGAGTAGTTAACATACAAATTTGATTTACAAGGAATCATCTCCATTAAAGTTGGTTTCTACCAACAGCTAAGTAGTAAATGTTTTATCTGTTCAGCTTGGCATAGCTGCAACAAAGTTCCAAGTCGCATTTGCGTATCAAAGCTCTAAAAGGAGCTAATTTTGGGAAGAAGCATGGACAGGAAGAAGGAAATGGATAACTATGCAGGCAAACATAAATTAAACAACATAACTACAGCACTGCACATGGACAAGAGTAATAAAAATTTCTAGTAACCATATATGGACATATTGGTTGCAATTGGAAATCCTGCATTACCAAACACTACATTTTCATAGTATCTTTGCATTAACATAAGGTATTCCCAAAATATTTCAATAATCATGATAATATCAATTTACCTAATGCAAATAAATTAATAATCATTGAAGGTTAATTTTCCCAAATTACCTTTTTAAAGAATTCAATTTGCAACTTTTAATAGCTAAGGTGACTTGTACTAAATATTTCCGATAAAGTGGGGCTATTTTGTCATAAAAATATTAAACTCATCTCACCTCATTGTGACTCTTAGAATCTTACCTTCTTATGAGGTAAAGAGATTAACAGTAGAAGGGACAAGGAATTTCCACCATTGAGATCACCAGTAATCTTCCAAAAACTCTCAAGTTGAACAAACTTAAACGTTTGTTGAATCTGCTAGGAAGTTTGTTAATCCAGCTTTCTCCATAGACGATTTCACACCTCACAGGTGGTGTGACCTCTTTTGTCTTATAAAACAACAATTTATTTGTGTCCTTGATGCCCTATTCATATAAGTGATCAACTGCTCATCTTGTTTATTACAAATTTATTATCTATCATGAAGCAAGATGCCATAACAAAAGTCTTTCCCTCATAATTTCTTTCTTTGAAACTATAATTTACATGAATATCCTTATAAGCCTTTGCCTCCTTCCTGACATGCTCATTCATATCTCCCCATAAGAAAATCCATACTTCTTGAGAAATCTTATAGATCAACAAATCCAAGTCTTTCCAAAACTTTATCTTGAATTGCTTATTCAATCCCACCTCGAGGTGCATATACAATAACAATATTAAGGTCTTTTCTCCCCTTTAAATTAGATACACATGCTACTATTCCCATATCTTTTAACATCTACAAGACCATTCTTCATGATCTTATTCATGATAATAACTGCATTATTACTTGTTTTATCCATACTTGATTACCAAATTATGAACCCCAAGTCTTCAAGTTCCTTTGCCCTTTCTCCTTCCCGGTTAAACTCTTTGAATGCATATAATGTTAATCCTTTTCCAATTATACTTCCACCTTTGCTGATTTACCTATTAAGGTCTTGATGTTCCATGTCACACAATATAGCTTACTCTCTTGGACTAACTTTTTAATGTACATCCATCCATGAAAATGTGGGAACCCTTACTCATTATGCATTACATCCAAAGAGGAGTCACGTAGTTCAAATCTCAACCTCCTCCTCCCAAAAAAAAAAAAACCTAAGGAAAACGTTGAATAGCCATCACTCAGATTCAAATAAATTTATCCTAAGACGGACAACACAACACCCGTAATAAGCCCAGAAAAACATATGAAAGAGAACCATCAATTAAGGAAGAATAAACCAGACCGGGCAGGTAGCACTAAACTCATCTAGATTACTCTGCAAGGAATTTCCAAAGTGGCTCTATAACAATAGCAAACAGTTGCTGCTCCCCAATCCAATTCTCCCCACATTACTAACAGAAATTCATGTAACTAGAGATTCTAGTGGGGAAAAATAATGAGGAGAAATATTTGGAAATGAGAGAGGCAAGAAGCATTATTGACCTACAGTTCAGCAGAGTTAAACAAAATTTGATAATGGCAATGATGATATACTCTCCATTCTTGCAAATTAAATTAGAAGATGCATGTGAGTGCCTATGTATCAAATCTTAGGCCAAAAAGTACCAGTGCAGTCAATGTCAAATGCTATTAGACAGTAACATAGTGAACAGTTAACACAGTCTTCTAATGCCCTTAGAACCGAGCTTAAGCATGTCTATCTCTTCCCATACAACTTTAGTCAAATTCATCAACTTAGACTAAAAGGGACTAAAATCACATCACAACCTTCAATGTATAGTTCTTTAAAAAAAATAAACGTCTAATTTTATCAAAAACCTTAGTTCAAGCATGTGAACTCCAATTCCAATGTTTTCTCAGGCACTTGGTCACGATATTGTTTAACCTTGATAAAATGAAGAATTCCTAACAAGCTGCACAGGTATTATTTCATATTTAATAGAGTACATTTTTTGAAGTTTTTCACCAAAGCTGTCACAAGAAGTGAGGTGTAAGAATGAAAACCAGAAAATGAGAAGATTCACATCACCCTACTTGTGAAGGAATCAACACTAAGCAACTTTTTCAGCATCTGGGTGTCTGAAAAATGAAGTGGACCATGGTAATGATGGAAAAAAAATCCAAACGATACAACCAGCCAGGTCCAACCTAATCAAATATGCGCTTTTGATCTTTCATTTTGTGTCCTAAAGTTGTAGGAATTTACAAGAAATGTATTCAGAACAGCATGCCAATGTCCTTCAAGCCCAATGATCAACACAGCAAGGCATTTGTGACAGTTATTAACTATGAAGGCCAGACAAATGTAACCTTAAAACTAGGTAATGAAGCCCAGTAGCTGTAATTAAGTTTGCAGACATGCAACCAATACATTAAGTTTGCAGATATACAATCAATCTATCAACCAAAAAATGCCCAAAAGCATAAATTTCATATTTTAAGTCTCCCAATGTTCACATTCTGTTATATTTTACCTTTTTTTTCTAAAAAAAAAAATAATTCTCAATAACTCATAATTCGTTATAGAGGTGTTTGATCCTAAGAAATATCAGATTAGTAGATAACTGAAAGAAAGGAAAAGAAAAGTAGAATCACGCAGCTAGCTCACAGTTGAGATGAATAAATCTTGAAAAATATATACATATGCTAGTTTACGAGAGGTATAGTTTGAAAGTTTCAAATATATATTAGTTAGCAAAAGAAAGGATCAGTCAAGAATGTTGTTCATCAGTGAATAATAACCTCATCTAACTTTACAGTGTTAAGAACAGTAATTAAAAGGTGCTTAAGTGTCTCTAAACGGGTTCCATTATAAACTTGTATGCTGAATGAAAGCTATCTGTAATCAGCTCTAGAATATCTCTGGTGTGAATAACAGAACTAAACCTTCACAGTAGGATCAGGCACGATGCGCCAAGGACATGAACTCCTACCAATCTCATCCTAATGCCCCATCCAATTCTATCCCTAAATCTCCTCTAGTTCATTTATTTATTAAATTAAATTTTGTAAGTTTCCCGACCTGAATTAGTGTTCGTTTACTTAACAGACCAATTTATGGGAACATGAGAACTCGAAGAGCAGATAATTTTGATACAAATTAAGTGTAGAAACAAAACTGAAAAGATTAAATTGTAAAAAACAAACGACAATTTCTGTTCAACATACCAAACTACAAGCACGATAACAGTATAACGATAAAACCAAGTAGCATTTCAACATGTTATGAAGAACATAAGCACGGAAGAAACCAAAGCAATAACCAAATAAGGGTAAATAGGACGTTCAAGTCTTATAGCACACAAAGATTTTAGAACTTTTAAGGAAAAAAAAAAAACTATTTGATTGTTATCTTAGATACAAATAAGAAAGAAGAAGAAGAAAAGAAGTATGATTTGTGAGAATTAGGAAGGAAACAAACCGGAGAAGTGGGTTTGATTGAAAGAAGAAGAAAACAAGACGATGAGTTCAGCCAACATGGAAGGGACCAATATCACCACTTCTGAGAGAGTCAGCAACTTCATCGGCAATCGTCAAGCATGAAGAAACCCATCCACTTAGAGCAATCCAAACCATCTCTGCCATCCACAGTGTCATGACCCATGGCATTGCCATTTCGCTTTCGTTTTCTTTCCTTGTGATTGTTGCTCTTTGGAACCAACAAGTAATTATTGGTTTTGTCAAATTGAGGATCTGAAGCCTTTGGTAGAAAGAAACGAAGGACATTCAAAGAATCCAGTTGAGGTGAAGTAAAAGTAAAAGGCAAGACTTTGCTCCGTCGGCTGGAGTTTTCCTCTTCCTTGTTTTAGTTGATATACAGTGGCCAGTCAAGAATCTCGGCCCCGCGTATCATGTCCCACTACATATATATATATATTTGTCAATACGTTTAAGTAAAGATAGTGACGCGAGGGCTGAGGTTCCTTCTAAATTGTTCTCTTGTTAAAGCGTCTGCCTTCCAACTATGTCCACTAAATTTGTTCTAATTCCGAAAAATAATTGAATTTAGAAATATTACAAGTAATGTAAAAGCTTCCCAAATTAAAATATTATGAGGAATATATTACCTTGTGAACTTTTAATCATAATAATTAAAAAATTAAGTATTTCTTTTTATAAATAAAATCTATCTATAGTTCTTGTAATTTCAACTTGTGATTCCTCTTTTCTACCTTATGACTATCTATTTTCTCAATTAGTATTTTATGGATAATTTTCTCTTTCACGAAATTAAGCTATTAATTTTACTTAATAAAATTATTAAAATACTCTTAATTTAAAGCTTATTTATTTATACTTAATATTTTTTATAATTTTTTTAAGTAAAATTAACAGTTTAATCTTTTATGAAAATAAAAATTATTCACAAAATACTAATAACAAAATTCATAATGTGCTAATTAATTGGTTTACAGCACGAGAAAAACAAGGTGACAAAGACAAACCCAAAACAAATTCCACTCAGATCATAAACAGAGATATGAAACGTTATGAATGCAGCAGCCTTAATAACATTTATATATTGGGAATATGGATAATCTAAACCTTCAATGAAAATGGAAAATCCATTCTGGTACATAACAGGCATGCAACTGTATATCAAGGCAAGTGTTTTTCAACTCCTATTCTTCATGGAGACATTGAGAACGATAGGCAAAATAATATTATGGTTAAGTGTGCATTGTCATGTCAAGGTCTAGGTTCTCTTATTACTCGTCGTCCTTGTACGGGTACTCTTCGGGAACTTGCTTCAAAAGTTTCACCTGCAGCTCATATGCATCGTCCCCTCTAAGCACATCACGGATCCAGGTAACTTCAGTCTTCATTGACACCTGAACAAACAAGGGATTTGCATAGAGATGAAAATAACAAAGATGATACCGATAGCTTGAGTTGGGGCTTTGGCATTAGAAGATAATAAGGCAACTAAGTGCAAGCAACTCCTGATTGTCTCAGTGACTAAATATTATAAACCAACAATGGGAAATCTGTCTGTTTTTTCTATTTCCCCCTCCTATTCTTTTAAGAAATAGAAGAATGGATTATTTGCTCCATGAAAACCACAAATGGTCAGAATATACAGGTTAATGTTTGAGGCCTGGCATTAAACAATAATCTGGATTGATGTATCAGAGACTTAAATAGCAAGACACATTCTTTATAAAAAAATATAGGTTGAACTTAAATGTAAAGGTAAGTATTCTCCCTCAATCATGGTAGAAGCATAAAACATAGGTTGAACTTCTATACAACACAAGATAAATTCTGTAGGCAAGGTTAAAATTGTCGGTAAACATATAATACTTTTATCTCTTCTTTTTTTTTTTGAGAGAGAGAAAATGGATTCGAATTCATACTCTTTAAGCAGAGACATCATGCACTAATTAATAAGCTAAATGCTCAGGTGCAATTAAATTGCTAGTAATTAGGAATAATTCACTGTATACAATACGTAAGAAGTTCTTGGCTTTCATTCATGATTATGAAAGATAAAGAAGTGTGGGGTTTAAACAAAAAGATAAAAGAGATGTGGGGTTTATAGATGTCCTACACCAATATTAACGAAAATAAAATAACCAATGACTAGACCTGACAATTTTGCATGGCATGTTAACATGACACAAAAGTGAGTTTGGATTTAAGGTAACCATATTTCGTGTATTAATCCTATCAACACATTTAAGACACAACAATTGTGTCTTAAACATGTCAAACATGCTTTAATTCGTTTAAAATCTATTTAGTTAATCGTGTTACCATGTCGATCCGTATAGTAAACCATATAAATTTTATCTTTTTTAAGGGAAGGGGAATCAAACCCAACCTTTTTAAGCAGGGAGATTATGCACTAATCAATAAGCCAACATTTGGATGTAAATTTTATCCAATTTTATTAATACATTGTTTCTATTCATAAATAGATTTTGCGGCGCAAGAATGATATGTGATGTGGCGAGGGAGTCTTCACTTTTAACTTTTTGTGTTTTATTATGTTGATAGATTACAAATATTACTTGGATTTTATTATGGTTCTTTCTTGTTGATGTCGATAGATTTTTCATATGTTTGATGGATTATTGTTTTGTTATAGTTGTTTTATGATTATTAGTTTTAAATTTGAATGATAGAATTATATTTCATTTTTATGTATGTTAAAATTAAATTATTAACAAAAAATTATTCAATTTATCATTTAATCATTTAAACAAGTTATCAGTTATGTCGTGTCATATAAAATTTAATTTGACTTGTTTAATAAACATGTTAAGCATGTTGTCTCATGTTATGCATTTAATAAACATATCCATGGGCGTTTTAAAACCTTGACACATTTAATTAATCATGCTGCGTTCATATTTACCCATATAACTGTTAACACCCTATGTTTACACAACATGGTTAAAACAAGCAAACATGAGTTGCCAAATCTACATATGGCTAGCAACCCAACCTTGGTAACTAATATCACACTAAATGCAAAATGGTAAAACAGGATCGTTGTCTTGAAAGTTGAAATTATATAATAGAAGGATGAGACTAACCATCTCTAGGGCTCCTCTTATGACTCCACTTAAGATGTTGCAATAGTAGAGACCTTGACACGTATCAGGAAGCTCTACGAAGTCTACAAGGGGATTATCCTCCAAAACAATGCTGCAACAGGTCCCATCAGCATCCCAATTCGTAACAGATGCAGTGACCCCAAGGAACATTTTGAAACCCACCTATATAGAAGCTTCATTAGGACTGACAGGATTTGGGGCCTACTTCATAATTGTTAAAAACAGAACTAAGATAATATTTCAATGGCTTCAGCACAAACAAGTCCAGCAAATATTCAAACCTAGGGCAATGTAAAAATATTCATAAATCTTCCAAAAGCTCACTTGTATTCATTAAGCAGTAAAAGGATCCAACTTAAAAGGGGGAAAACAAGGGCATCCAGTTCATAAAATGTATATGCAAGATTATTGAAGAGTTTTTCCCATCTTTCCATGCATGTGTTATTGTCTTCTTTCAATTTCAGAATTTAGATTCCACAGAACAAGTATGCCCGTAACATCATACATAACAGACTAATCATAGCCTATAATCTAGATCTGTTTGATTGAAGAAAATAAATTAGTGATCCAGCTGACATGTTGTAAAAAGCAGTTAATATTAATAGATAAAGTTTCTGGTAGAAAAGTAAAAAGATAAGCAACTCAGTCAAAGAGGATATTCCTACTGAGCTACTGCATCCATCTTTCGACGGAGCATGAGTGTTGTTTTATATTAAGTTTGTTCGTTTTCTATTTGGAGTCCAAGTAATTGTTAAGTCCTAAGTACTGATTTACTCTTTCTATACATATGTAATCTAATTTACTCTTTCTACTAAGATAGAGAATTATTATCAGATTTTTTTCCAGCAACCTTAGGTGTGTTCTTCTCTTCTTCTCTCTTCAATTTTCGTTTTATCAAGAACACAGATAAGAAAATTGTCAAAAATCCTAATCATCTAGCTATCCTACATCATCTGACAAGAGTTTAATCATATTTAAATCACAAGCCAAAGTTCAATTCCATCCATGTTCATCAATTAATTCAATCTACCAGTTCCTCTTTGCTCATTGTTTTTGTTCAGCTCAAAACCAAAAAGAAGGAACTAATAATGTTTAAAGAAAACAGAAAGCAAAATACGCACTACTCCAAATAGCTTTTATGAACAGAAGGTCAGAGAGCAACTTCAAAACAACAAAGAGTACGACTTATTATGAAACAATTGAAAGACCTTTGCAGTATAAACCTAATAATAATAGCAGACCTTTGCAATCACTTCTGCTGTCTCCTTAAAGTCAACACATCTGGACACATTAGATTTTGCCAGAAACTCATCAATTAGTCGAATTCCTATATTATAGCCCCTGCAAAGTAATCAAAGTAGTTAAGTAGTCTGAATATTGACAACATGTAAACAACTTATTAACTGAATTACATAAAATAAAATGCTATCAATATTGAGAAATCCTAGTAATTCATTACGCACACAATAAACAAGAAAGGTTATCCTTTTGGTACCCAAATTATAGTGAAACTGTCAAATTCATACTTGAAGTTCAAAAATTTGCAATTCAGTAGTCGAACTTTGCTTCCATTAAAAGTTACCTTTATCTAACAGTGTTATTCAAATGGTTGAAGTAGGCCAATAAAAATACACTACGTATCTAAAAATACCCTGTCATTTGACATTTTTATTTTTATAAATATTTTTTTAAAATGTAAAAATTAAAAATTTTGGAAAATGAAAAAAAGGAAAAAGAATTGTTGAAATTTTATCTCTGAAATGTAAAAAAAATAAAAAAAAAATTGCTTTTAATTTTAATTTTTGAAATTAAAATATAAAAAAATAGAAAACAAGAAAAAAGAACCAAATTGCTAAAAAATTCGGAAAAAAAAACAAAAAAGAAGGGAATCGGGGAAATAGAGGGAAAGAGGGAATGGAAGAGAGAGAGAAGGGAGGGGGTAAGGGGAGGGCCAGCCCACTACTGATCCGCCTCAGACCGACCAATCAATGCCATCCAACCATCCCCCCTCCCTTCTTCCTCTCTCTCTCCTCATTTCCTCTCTTTCCCCTCATTTTTCTAAATCTCCCCAATTTTTCTTTCTAATTTTTCTTTTTTTAATTTCAGAAATTAAAAATTGGCCAAAAATAAAAAATGACATGATATTTTCAAGCATATAGTGCATTCTTATTGGCTGTTTTTTTGCCACGTTACCCATTTGACTATCGATGTTAGTGAAAGGTGCAAATTGTTTAACAGAAATAAAGTTTGAGTATTTAAATCACAAATTTTTAAACTTTACCAAATCAACAGTTTCACAATAGTTCAGGTACAAAATATATAATTAACCCAAACAAGACTAAGAACATTGAATCTCATCACAATCAAGTTTCTAAATTTAGCTGACAGATTAAAAAGAAGAAAACACAACCAGGAAGAGACACTCAATTCAGTCAAGAATCTAAACAAAAGTACATAACTACTAAGATGATGCCTGTCCCCACCCTCCATCCCTTGTGCAGAAATCACAATCACATCCTATCCACTCCAAATTTCCCTCATCAGATGGTCAATAGCCAAGTCACTTTAGTAAGCACCAAGAAAGAAACAGCAGAACTAATATTTCCAGACTACAGAACAGTCCAACTACTACTATTCAACAGAACTGTGGTTGATTCTTTTTCATCGTCACCCAATCCCTATACCTGCCTCTGCACCACATCTACGGTGAAATTTAACCCAAAACCAATTTTGCCTTTTGATTGATTGTTATATCTTCCGCACAACAAAAAAGATACCAGTTGAAAACAGTCAACTATCTACTCTAGCTCCTTAATTTGCACTGTTCTTACAAAACCAGCATCCCAGCTCTCAAAAGAAAAAAAAATAATAGAAATCAGATTAAGAAGCATACAATGCTAAAGATGTCTCCCCTTACCAAATTCATGTAAATGATTCTCCTCCCATCCCCACTGGAGAACATAATGAACCTCAAAGCTTCCTTCTACTTACACCAAATTCCTCCCAAATCCCATGGTATCCCCTAACAGCAGAAGCAGATCACTATTTCTTTAAAGAAACATGTCAATGAGTTACCTAATCTCCTGGTCATCAGAATTCATAAATAAATAATAGAGCACACATTCTTCCCTGCAATCAAATGGCATCTAAACTTGTCTTAGAGCCATCACAATAATCATTTGCATTTCTTAATGGTAAGCACATGATGCTTAATTAAGAATAACTGCAAACGATCCATTTACTATATATAGAAGATTAGGCAACTATTGATATGGATAATTAACTAAAAAACAAATCCACTATGGACATTAATGAGGATTGAAGAAATAGTCTTGACTATTGAATATAATTGAAGATGTGGGTTTAGAATGCTCCAATAACTCAAGATAAAAGTGTAGAAAGCTCCAAAAACTGTGTGCAGAACCAACCATATTGTAACAACTTTTCCCTTTTCTTACTATACTTTTATGAACAGCAATTTTTTGCGTATCAATATCCAACAATGATAGTAAGATTTCTGGTTGCTCCCATCCAAGTCTAATTACCTAGCTTCTCATGTTTCAGCAACGGGTAATAATTGGTAAACCTTTGGTATAAATAGCCCACGCAACAATTCATTCAATTCAAAGTTTGTTGCCCTTGAGCCTACCAAGTAAATTTCAATTTTTCCCCCACCAGCAAGATCAAATATATTTTGGAGTATATGCAGCATAAAGTTTTTGCATTCCATGTAGGAGTAGGAAAGTTTTCCAGGGACTGTCAACTAATTGTGTTCACAAGCCAACCCTTCAACGCATCCAGTTGAAAGATTGGATGGTCTAAATGAGTGTGAGAGAAAAACAAAGATGCATGCAGATATTCATAGATTCATCGCATATACGATGCATAGATGAACCCAAATGTTAATGGGTTGGCATAAGGCTACTAACAAGATCAAAAAGATAGCAGCATTCAAATACAGTAACCTTTTTATACAATCAAAAATAGAGTCAATCGTCGGCAGATCAGGATGATCAAATACATAACAAGTATCCCACTTTCAGAACAATGACATGAAACCTATTGTAAAAGTATCCATTGGTCAAATGATTATAGCCAATAACTATCGAATGAAACGGAAAAAAGTTTGTAGAAAGGTAAGAGTGTACATTTGATCAAGCTGTTTGTTGACCTCCTCAACCTCCTCCAGATCAGTAAGCAACTGACGGACGATTGCTCCATAAGTCAAAGTGAATAGTTCTGCATTCTACACCAATTCAAATTCCAAATATCAGCAACATATCAGTTATATACAGCAACACAATCGGCAGTATAATTTTCACATGGTTGCCAAAAATATATTATAGAGATTCTTTAAATCAAACTTAGAACAACCAGATCCCCTCCATTCATAAAATTCTCTGCTTCTATCTAGCCGTAAAGACTGATGCAGGACATAAGAACAAATCAAAATGATAAAAGAAAATGAAACGAAATTGAACCGTCAAAACTTTTACGGATAAAATGTTGCTTTTATTTTTCTTTTGCAATTTTTCAAACGAGAAAACGGGAAATAAAATTAATGAAATGGGACCAGACTCCAAGCACGCAGCGCTTTATTCTTCTTCTTCTTTTTCTTTTTCCTCCAATTTCCAAACAGAGTGAGAATTAGAAAATTTAGAGAATTTTTTAATGCCGTTCTATCTTACCACGCGTTCGACGCTGGCGAAGATCGCATCACCGGATCGAGGAGCCGCGGGAGCCATTTCTCTTAAGATCTAATCAATTCAAATTCCTAAACTCAGTTCAAATCTAACTAAGAAAAAGTTTATGCGAAGTTTTATAATAACTTAAATCCGAAATAAATAATACCTAGAAATGCTCAAACGGAGGGAGAGGCCGTGAAGAAGAACAACGACGAAGAAGAACGACTGCGGCTATGGCGGTGGCCGGCAGAAGCGGCAAAGAAGAACGCCTGTTGCTACGCAGGGGAAGAGTAAGGCAGTGACGACGAAGAAGTGAAGGGAGTTTTCTGTTTTTAATTTCGATTTTTTCTGTTATCAGTATATGAAGGATTTTTTTTATTTTTACAAAGGTTATTTTTTTCTCTTCGAACATATTTTTTATTTACTTGAATGCCATTGTCACGTGCCTGCTCAAATTTAAGTTTGACCCGTGCAACAATTATGAAAATAGAGCTTATGTAAATTTTAAAACTTACAAAATAGTAAAAATAAAAAAAAATTAAAAAAAAGCTTTTGAGAAATAAAATGTGTTACAAATGAGGAAAATTGTCCTATTTATAAATTAATGGTCTCTTTTATTGCCTAAGATTAAATTACAACATAGAAATAAGATAATATAAAATAAAAGATTTAATTTAAAGAGATAATATTCAAATTAAATTCTAATCTAATATAGTAAATTTATATCTAAACCTAAATATACATTAACAAATTTAAGAATTCAAATTAGATTACACTACACGAGTTGACTCTGTTGTCTATCTTATTTGGGTTTTTGGCTTGTCTAGAGTACCTTGCCTATTTGGACTATTGTTTGTTAAGCTGTTTAGCTTGCTTGGACTAGTCTGAACTCTTAGATCGTGACATCCTCCCCACTTAATCCAACAATGCCCTCATTGTTGAGAGATGCACTTTTACATTGCAATCATCTTCTCACATGTCTTTGCCTCTAACAACTTCATTTTGTGCACTTTTAGCTTTGCATACTTCTTTAGAATGTGTTGTCTCTTTAGGCATTTCTTGTTTAAGCTATTTGGCCTACTTGTTGGGTTTGGGCTAGTAACTTTTATGCTGTGACATTGTCCCCTACTTAATATGGCAACACCCTCATTGTCCCATGGAAAAGCTCCACTTTGTCTTAGAATTGCCAGAAGTGCTCTGTTGACTCCCAACTTGTCTCATTCTTTGGAAGCCTTTTCCATTTCACTAAATATTGGTGCCTCGGTCTATAATTCTTTTGCCTTAGCACTTTATGGGCCAACACTCACTCCATTTCTCACTCATAAGTTGCCTTGATCCTTATCGGTGCTTTGTGGCTTACCCTTCTACTAGGATCATGTTCATTTACATGGTAAGGCTTCAACATACTAACATGAAAAATTATATGTACCTTCAACTTGGGCAATAACTCCAACTTGTATGCCACCCTTGTGACTTTCTTTAATACTCGATAGTCCCTCGTAACACTGAATTAGTCTTTTGTGAACACCTTTATTTTTAAGCAATTTTACCATCACTAAGTACCGTACTTGGAAAAGTATTTTTTTTAAGACTAATCGGCCTACTTTTTCATCTTTTTGGTGGTTTTGTGTAGGCAGGCTCAAGTTAAGTCTAGTTGTTCTTACCAAGCTCGAGCATGTTTGTAGGCTACAAGCGCTAGACTAGTGTAACCTACTGCTACAATACTTGGCATGAGAGGTTGTTGTCCTGTCACCAACTCGAAAAGGCTTTGTTTGGTTGCCTCACTCCACTATAAGTTATGGGAAAAGTTTGCCACATCTATCCACCTTGGCCAATTAGTTTGCAAGCTAAGCATAAAATAGCGTAAGTACATCTCTAACAGGGCATTCACTCACTTGGTTTGCCCATCTGTCTAAGGATGAAAACTTGTGAAAAAGTTTAACTTGGATCCTATCATTCTGAAAAGTTCAATCAAGAATCTCTTAGTGAATCATCCATCCCTGTCACTTGCAATGGTCAATGGAACACCTCAATATTTAACAACATACCTCATGAATAATCTTGTGTCCTCCTCGACTAGACATTCACAACTAGCAGGGATGCAAATGGCATATTTAGAGAAACAATCTACCACAACCATGATGCACCTCAATCCATCTACCTTTGGCACTCCCATGATAAAGTCCATACTCTAGTTTTCCCATGAGCAATTAGGTATAAGTAATGGTTGAGTAATCTTGCCATCTTTTTCTGCTCCATCTTGTCTTATTAGTATATCAGACAATTTTATACATAATTCTCCACATCCTTTCTCATGTGTGGCTAATAGTAGCTCTTCTCTACTAATGCCAAAATGTAGTGCATCCCGAGATGTCTAACCCAACTTGAATCATGGCACTCTTTTAAGTTTTCCTTGCGCAATCCCCCATGTTGCGACACATATAACCTCTATACGTTGGTGTAAAAAATGTCATTTTGGACCCAAAATTTTCTAGTTTTCCCATCTTTGATGTACTCCATCAATGATTGTGCTATAGTATCATGTGGTAGTACTTCCTTGATGCATGGGACAAGCACCTTGGGCTTCATTCACGGTTGCTAATGTGGTCTTCTTATTAAGTGCATTGGTCACAAAATTTGTCTTACCAGGCTTGTACTCCAATCGATAATCAAATTTTACTAAAAAGTTTTACTAATGAGCTTATTTGGGATTGAGTTTTTTCTGGTTTTGAAAGTATAACATCGTCACATAATATGTTATTACCACAAACAAAACCCCAAGTAGGTAGTGTCTCCATGTGCAAAGGCAATGCACTATTACGATCATCTCTTTCTCTTGTATTGTGTACTTTTGCTAGGTCTCATTGAGCTTGTGACTCTCAAAAGTCATTAGATGCCCCTCTTGCATTAACACTCCTCCAATGGTAGAGTTTGATGCATTGAGGACCAATCAGCACCAGTCTAAGAGATCAGGGAATCAAAGGTGTAGCCAAGTGAGGTAAGTCGAGGGACATGATGTCACGTATCTACATCAATAAGGGACAGAGCGAGTCTTCGATATATAAACATGGGTCTTCTACCACTTATTAGACATGTTTTTTGGGTTAAGAGTCTGGGCTCATGATTTATAAGCTTACTTAAGCTTTATTTTCAAAGCTTAAGACTACTTGGAGTTTGGCTTAAGTTCCAACCCGTGACATTTAGTATTAGAGCAGACTCGAATCTTCACTGATATGGGTTCTTATGAGAGATACAAAGGTTGAGGTAAACCCAAACTAGTATAAAAGTCCCTCTCCTCTATAAGTAAAGAGCCAATGCAATGAAGGTGTTGCACAATTGGGTGGGGTAGGGCCTTCCACCACCTATCAAGCATGTTTTTTTAGGTTGAAAACGTGATTTCATGATTTATAGGCTTACTTAAACTCTATTTTCAAAGCTTAAGGCCATTTGGGGTTAGGCTTAAGTTCCAGCTTGTGACATTTGGTATCCAAGTAGACTCAAATCTTTACTAATGTGGGCCCTTATGAGAGATACAAGGGTCAAGGTAAACTTGAATTAGCCTTTCCCATACGGGTAAAAAGCTACTGCAACAAGAACGTTGCACAATTGAGTAAGGTAAAATATCACAAATCTCACATTCGTAAAAGATAGGTTAAGTCTTGGATATATAAACATAGGTCTTCCATCACCTATCAAGCATATCTTTTAGGTTGGAAATATGGGTATGTGATTTATGGGCTTATTTAAACTCTATTTTCAAAGCTTAAGGCCTCGTAGGATTGGGCTTAAGTTTCGATCTGTGACATTTGGTATCAAAGTATACCTAAATCTTCACTGATATGAGTCTCATAAGAGATACAAAGATCGAGGTAAACCTGGACTAGTGTAAGAGTCTCTCTTTTCTACGAGTAAAGAGCCATCGTAATGGGGGCATTGCATAATTGAGTAAGGTAGAATGTCATAGATCCCACATCCATAAAAAAAATGGTAAGTCTTGGATATATAAACAAAGATTTTCTCCCACCTATTGAGCATGTCTTTTGGGTTGGAAATGTTAGTTCATGATTTATAGACTTACTGAAACTATATTTTCAAAGCTTAAGGCCATATGGGATTAAGCTTAAGTTCCAACCCGTGCCATTTGGTGTTAGAGCAATTATGAATCTTTGCTGATATATGGCCCCCATGAGGCATACAATGGTCAAAGTAAACCTGAACTAATATAAGAGTTCCTTTCTTCTAGAGTATAGAGCTAGAGCAATAGGAGCATTGCATAACTGGGTAAGGTAAAATGTCACGAATCCCACATCAATAAGAGATGAGGTGGCTCTTAGATATATAAATATGAGTCTTCCACCAACTATTAGGCATGTCTTTTGGGTTGGGAACGTGGGCTTATGATGTATAAGCTTATTTATAAGGTTGTGTGGGACTAGGCTTAAATTCTGACCCATGACATAACATGGGTCTTCTACCACCTATCAAGCATGTCTTTTGTGTTGAGAACATGAGCCCATGATTTATAGATTTACTTAAGCTTTATTTTCGAAGCTTAAAGTTGCATAAGGTTAGACTTAAATTCCAACTCGTGACATTTGGTATAAAAGCAAACCCAGATCTTCACTAACGTGGAGTTTTCATGAAAGATACAAAGGTCGAGGTAAACGCAAACTATTGTAAGAATGCCTCTCTTTTACAAGTAAAGAGTTAGTGCAATGAGGGCATTGCACAATTACGTAAGGTAGAATGTCACAGATCCCACATTAGTAAAGAAATGAGATATAGCTTGGTATATAAACATGGGTTTTTCACCACCTATCAAGCATATCTTTTGTGTTGAGAACATGAGCCCCTAATTTATAAGCTTACTTAAACTCTATTTTTAGAATTTAAGGTTGCACAAGATTAGGTTTAAGCTTTAACTCGTGATAGTTATCAAGTTTCAATGTATAATATATATCCAATAATTTCTTATAATGGATATTTTGCATTACTCGATCTAACTCAGTAAAATTAAAATATTTTTATAATTGGATTTATGTAAGATTTGAATAACAAAACTATTATTAATTATGCCTTTGACTAGAATTCAAGTAAAAATTTAAAATATTAATTATCTAAATATGATTATAAATAATAATTTTAATTTTATGTATTATTTTTTATTTATAGATTAAAGATAATTAATATAATACTTACTAAAATTTAATATTTATTTTAAATATAATATTTAATTCTAATTATTAATATATATAATTTTAAATTTATTTGCTTGAGGTTTTTTGCACATCATATTCCTCACCATTGCTATAATTTATTTCAATGGTTGGAAGGAAAAATTCCTTTGCATTTTGACATATTAGCTCCATATATATAATAATATATTAGCATTAATGTTTGTTGGTAGAGATAGTCCATCAAAAACCTTGTCAACAATAAATGGAAACCATTTCCCAAGGTTTGTATCCTTAGCTCCCAAGGGAAGGATAATTTTCCCCAAACACTTTTGACTTAATTTTTTTACGATACGTTTAGTTCGTAGAATAGAATAGTTATTATGTAAAAATATAATAAAATAAGAATAGAATAGAATGATTATTATGTTGTTTGGTTCATAGAATGGAATAGAGTAAGAATTGTTATTATGACTTATTTTAATATTTAATTGATAAGAACAGCTTTGGAATAACCAAAGAATAAATGAGAAAAAGACAAAACTATCCTTTATTATAACATTTGAATTATTTTTATCAAAAGATGAAAATACTTATACCAAAAGATAAAATACCCTCACCTAAAATATAATAAAATATTTATCCTAAAAGAATAAATTACCCTTGAATATAATTTAATCACATATTTATATCAAAAAATCAAACTTACCTTGAACATAGTTTAATGATATTTTCATAAGAATATAAAACAAAAATGCCCTATATATATATATATTGCTATCAAAAAATTTCTATGCTTGAATTATGGGTTATATATTTATATATATATATATATATATTTGAAATTTGGTTTGAATTCATAAGTAAAAATTACCAAAGCTACCTAAAAGATAGTAGCTGCAAACACCATTCTTCTCTATTCTCAATGCCCAATGGCAATAGTAAATTTGATAGAACAAAACCTAGTTGCATATGAGATATATAAACACCCTACACAATCCCATTTTACACAATCAATATCACATAGCAATCAATTAAATACCAAAAGACTATACATAAAAAAACTAAAAAACAAAACTGTACAAATAAATGCAATATAATCAAAAATAAATGCAAAGCTATATTAGAACACCTATGGCATAACCTGGGAGACCACAACATAAGGTGACCACATTCAAAAACATATTCAGCCACAAACCAAAGACCCATTTGAGCAACATAGCTAAGATCATTTAAGTAGTTAATGTGTTAATTTGCATGAAGTTTCATAAAAAAAATTATTTTCATAAATTAAAAATCGGTTCTCAAACTTATAATATGTGAAGGTTATCATTCATCATCATTTGCTTACTAAATATAAAAAATAATATGGTATCATTCACAATCTACATAGGTAAAGTTTGTATAATTTGATATCATTCACCATTCACTTACTAAATATTAGAAATAATAATATTCATCATCCATCACATAAAATTTATGTACAAAGAAAGCCAACTATAGACAATTAGTCCCACCAGTTACAAGATCCCAACTCAAAGGTTTGAAAAGGTTACAAATTTATCATTTGGCTTTCTCAAAAAGTTTCAAATATGTCATTCAACCCCATAGCTAAAAAGTCCCAACTACAAGGTCTCAAAAAGTTGCAATTTCCATTAACAAACCTTCTCAAAACATTCCAGACCAGCCATTCAACCCCACAACAATAAGGTCCCAACTACAAGTCTCAAAAAGTTGCAGTTTCATCATCTAGCTATCCCAATTTAGATATGCTAATTAACCTCATAATTAGCATTAACATCAATTACAAAGTCCAAAAAAGTTGCAATTTCAATAACTTACCTTCATAAAAGGTTTCAAACCTATTTGAGTTCAATGATTAGCAAGAAACCTCAATAACCACCTAAGTCTTCGAGTAGGTGAAAGACTTAAAAACACAAGCATTTGATTTAGATAATCTAGAAGTTTTTTTAAAGCAATATCTCTTTCCATCTCTATCAATCCATTTACCTCACTTAAAATCCCATCCAACTCTTGAACTTTTTATTTGATGGTTACCTCCCCAAGACTCTTACTCAACTCTTTACTAACCTCTTTTAAGTTCTCACCCATTATCATGGCAACTGTAATACTTGATTTAGAGGTACCAAAGTCACTGACCTTGTTTAACCTTCTCTTTTTCCTTGTTGAAGTATTCTCAATTCTAGAAGTTGATGTTTGAGGTTGAATAGTGGAGAATTCCACTTCATTGACACCATATTCATATAAACCATCACCTTGAGTTTCTTTATTTATCCCATCGTTACCTCTTTGCATTTCCTCAACAATATTTGCAACAATTTAAGCATCTTTTCCTATTGCTCGATCCTTGGCATAAATGCCACTAAGCTCATTAAAGAAGGAAAAACTTCTTTTTCTGATAAAGGCAATTTCTTTGTGACCCTAAACAATAAAAACATAATACTATTAATTATATTAATAATAAAAAAGTAAATAAAAATCCTTAAACAACTTTAAACCAAATACTTACCAGTATGTAAGAGTCTTATACTTGATTTTAACAGTAACCATGTTCCTTTCATCGTCCTACCCAAATCCGTTGGTATGATTCCTTTGTACCATATCATATATAATTGTCCATTATTTTTTCAAAGTCATAATCCTAAATTCTATATCAGATTTGGCCTTCAAGTTTGAATTTGGTAATTTTGTTACAAACATTTTTTTAAGCTTAAACAAATAACCACCTCTGAAATAGAATTGGCATTATATTTTCCTATATTATGCAAATCCTTGATACATGAAACTAGTGCAACATCCTCTTGATAATTCCATTTTCTTTTTATTGCTTTTGAACTTTGATAAGCAAAGGCTGAAGATGCAAACATCGTTTTCTACCATACAACTAATGTTGAATTGCAAAACAAATATGTATAAACATAACCAATAATATATTAAAACTCGTCAAAATTGAATTGTAAAACAAATAATTATAGTGCTAAGGATATATAAACATAACCAATAATATATTAAAATTTCTTAAACTTTATTCACATGATAAAATGTACAATATAAGCAATAACAACAACAAATAAAAAAATAGTAAAACAACTAATAATAACAAAAGAAAAAAGAGAACAACATATTGTAACAACAAAGGAAATAACACTAGAACAATTCTTAAAATAACAAAATGCCTAACAAATGTCAATTTCCATTTTGCATAGATGTTTGTCATTCATTAAACATTTGTTTTGCTACTTCCAATCTCTAATTACTCCAACCATCAATCCTCAATTGTTTCATTCAAGGGCAACTTAATAACCTCAAAGACCTAAAGCTAAATATTTAAATGAGACCTTTTTTATTGAAATTAAGAAAAAAATTTTATTAAAATTTTTAGCTAAATTTCTAATTCAATAAATCAACTATCATATAAAATAGAGACAATTAACAATATAATATAAACTCTATATTAAGTAAAAAGGTTTGCAAAGATTAGAATAATAGTACTTAATTGTTGAATGCTTATTGCAAATAGTAAATGAAGCTCACGGTTTTATAAAAATAATAATATAATAGACTTTAGACCTGTCAATATGGGCTGGCCCGGCCCAACCCGGCCCTAGCCCTTGTGGGTTGAAAAAATATGGGACGGGCCGGGCCAACCCATATTTTATACGGGTTACAAAATATTCAGCCCAGCCCAGCCCTTGCTAGCCCATGGGCCGGGCCGGGCTAGCCCTGCCCCCCTCCTCCGGCTCCCACGAGCCTGCTAACTCGTATTCGTCTTTTAAGACAAGAGCTCCTAGGCAAGGAGGGACTTTTTCTTCTGTCTGTGCGGACTGGCAGCAAGGAGTCAACTGAATGACAAAAGCATCGGTTGCTTCCACTTGTGGCTTGCTTTCAAGAGTTTGACCGGTAAAGGACACCAACCGTCCTACTGCACAGGGGATAAAAAGAACCTTTCCGCATTCATCTTCTCTTAAGCGAGATCAGATCAGGAAAAAACCTCTACGCGCCTTTCGCCCTGCGGCCCTGCCCGCCCCCTCCGGCTCCCACGGCCGAGTCCCGGTTCCCCCCTGCGGCCCTGCCGCCCCTCCTCCGGCTCCACGAGTCCCGGTTCCCCCTGCGGCCTACCCGCCCCCCTCCGGCTCCCACGAGTCCCGTTCCCCCCTGCGGCGCTGCCCGCCCCCTCCGGCTCCCACGAGTCCCGATTCCCCCTGCGGCCCGCCGGGCTGGCCCGTGCCAACCCGGATCAGCCCTCGGGCCTAAACGGGCTAACCCGTTTAGGCCCGGTTTTAATACGGGCTTAAATTTTTAAACCCAGCCCGTCCCATATTTTAAAAAAAATGGGCTGACCCGACGGGCCAAGCCCATTTTGACAGGTCTAATAGACTTCTTACATATTCTTTTAAGGGAAGTTAAAGTTAAAAAAAAAAAGAGCAAATGAGGAAAAAAGATTTCAAAATGGATATTATAAATTGAAAAAAAAATCAATTTTATATATAAAAAATAACTATTGGAGATAATTAAATACGTTAATTGATTGAAAATAGAAGACATAGTTAAGAAAAAAAACTGTTAGAGATCATTAAATATATATTAATGTTAGTTGATTGGAAATAACCAAAATAATTGAGAATTAATAGTATTGTAGGGATTAGGAAGTGATAAAAGATTTAAATTTATTACACACATAATTAGAGAAATGAGAAAATATGGTACTTTATTAATTATCTTGACTTTTACATGAGAAATGAGTCAAATAGTTGAGAATTAATAAGAATGTGAAAGAGAGATAAAATAGATATTTATTAAGTCTAAGAGAATAGATAGAAATTTTATTAATTATCTAAAATTTTGTATATTTTAAATATAATTAATTATATTTTATTATTATAAAATTAGAGACTTATAAAAACTTGAGGCCTAAAGGCACAACTTTGGTGGCTTGACCCTTGAGCTGGCACTAGTTTTGTTTGTTTGAATGTTTTCCACTAAATCAACCTCAATAGGATCAAAGCTCATCTCTCTTCTAATAAAATTATGAACTAAACAACAAGCTATAATAATCCAATTATGTATCCTAATTGGATGAAATGATAGACTGTTAAGGATACCTCACCTCATTTTTAACAAGCCAAAATACCTTTTTATTATATTACTAGCAACTACATGTTTCATATTAAAAAATTCCTTAGGATAGCTTAGCTAATGGCCTTAACACTATTTATTCAAATGATATCATTGACCTATAAAAGGTGTAAAAACACGCTTACAATTTGTATAACCTGCAACAATTAGGTAATAGCAACCTATATAAAAAAAACTAAATAAGTTATTTATTTAACTTAGCATAAAAATATAGTAAAAAATCTGCAATATCTTCTTATTATTATAGGAAAGCTTACCATGAGGGACTTTAAGTCCATCTCTCCTCCCTATTGCATCTTGAAGAATTTTTCCATCAACTGTAGACCCTTCCCAACTAAAGAGAACGGAGACAAATTGCATATCAAGTGTACATACACCTAATATATTTGTTACGATTTTCCCTTTATGAATTCGATATTTAGGTTTATCTTCAGTTAGCACCTTAACCTTGATATATGTCCCATCTAGGGCATCTAAACAATTCTACAAATCAAAGGTAATGAACTATTATAAGTAAACCTATCAACATCTTGTATATATAATTACAAACATAATAGGATAACTAATATACCTTAAACCACTTCCATCAATTATCTGTGGAGTTTGTTGGAAAGGACTCGAGTTTCCTAAACTAATATTCTTGCAATTTCATCACTTCATTTAAAATATCACGAAAGTGCCGATTGACTGTCTCACCTAACCGTTTAAAATTTAAAGTAATTACTCAATTCTTCACATGGTGAGCAATAATATATAAGAATATTGTTACCTATACATCTACAAGCATGTTTTCTATTGGCTATATCCCCCCAATCATTTCTAGCATTTCACATAATCTAAAAAAAGCATGTTTATTCATTTTAATTATCGAAATACATAAACCATCATTATCATGCATAAGTTACTTTACACACTTTCATTGTGCATAAAATTCACTGAATAAGGTCTAACTCTTGGCCTATAAGTAGATAAAGCTAACATTATTTACAACAAAGTAAAGAACCAACTAATAGCATGACACATCTCCATATAAAATTTATATAGAGCTATTATCTTTTTTTGCCTTTCAGCATCTCTTCTTAAACTCAAATGAGCCATGACTACAAAATGTAAATATTCTAATATATTTTACAATATACAAAAAATAATGAAAACATATGGACAAAATAAAGCAATATTTTAATTAATTAGCAAACCATGCATTTTGGTTAGACACAGATATACTTAATTTATAACTTTAATTAGTCAACCAAGCAAATAAAAATATTTGTTATCAGCAAACATCATCAAATAACTAAAATAATTCTACATATGTAGAAAATAACAGAAATAACAATTACAAAATGAAAATGAATATCCAAATAGACATATCAAGCCTAAATTATGCCCATATGTTTGAGTTTGGCATGAGTAGTTTTCAAGTAAAAGTTTTTTTTTTGTGGTTTTATTGGGTAGGCTAAAAAGATCTTCCTTCAATTATTGTGCATATTTCTATTTTCTTTGTTAATGAAGGGAATAAAAAGGCGTTTCTTTGGCTTAAAACTTGACAAAAATAGAGCCTTGAACATAGCAAAATATGCGGTTTAGTAATTCACTTATTTATGTAACTTGTAATTTTAATTTTTGACTTAAACAACACAAAAAAAGTAAAGATGCTAGAGCTTGCATCTAGTACTTACGAATATCATTTGAAGAGTTTGCCTATTGACTAACACTGTAGTTTCTTTACCCTAATTAATCTTATTTTAATATGCACTTTTGTAGGATATTTGAGCTCACGTATGACTTTTATCACATAATATTAACAATCTCTACAACATTACTGCTGGTGTTCTCAATATAGTGATTAAACATTTCTTAGGGCTCATCTTGTTTTGCATTTGATGCCAAGCCAACACCCAGAAATTTTATAGTTATAGCTTTATTACTTATTTTCATGTCATACTTCAGAGAGCAAGCCACTACACCTGAATTTTATACCTTTAGAAATACTTGAAAATTGCTAATTAATTTTTTTCAAATCTTAGAAAATGTATATTTCTTGCCTTGGAATAAATTTATGTTATAATTTTAGTTAATATATATACATTAATACATGTGGGGGGGATTTTATGCTTTTTTTAATGGAATCATTTGTTCTTAGTTTCTTATTGTTTATGCATCAAATTTAAAGAAGCTATAGAGTATAGTAAAGGGGTTTTAAATACTTATTTTCATAATTATTTTCTTTTAAAAAAAATCAAGACTTTGTTTTTAATAGAGCTAACATGCAACACAACATTAACTTGGGATGCAACAAGGATATAGCATACTTGAAAATAAGTACTGAGTTTTATAATAGAAAAAAAAACCCCAAATGTGGAAAAAGAAACAAGTATCTAAACCAAGAAACCCATCTATAGAAACCAAGAATTTTGCTACCAAAACCCTTGAAAATCAAACCAAAAAAATAATTTGTGAAATACCAAACAAATAATCCTAGTATAAAAAGAGACCAAAGTGACAATTAGATAAGTATTTCACACCACAAGCAATGAAGGGTGAAGCGAGAAAGCTGGTGGTAGTAGCAACAGAAAGATGAGAGAGAACGAGAGGTGGATGAGGAAAAGAAGGGAGAAAATAAAAGAAAAAAAGTTTATATATGGGTAGAGTTGTAATTATTTCTAATAAACGGAGACATTTTCATTTAATAAAATTTTTAACCTATTCCATCAGCAATGGAATGGCTAATAATAGGTGCGAGGGCGAAGGGAGGGAGAAGAATGGCAAAGCTCATTTTTTGGAGAATAGCCATTCCAAATAGTATAACGAAACCATACAAATGTTTTACTATTTTGAAAAAATAAGGTGGGAATGGCTTAGCTATTCCCCTTTACCAAACATGTTGTTAGTGTTGGACTTCATAACTTGCCTCTTATGTCTTATGTTTTGCATCAATTCTGACTTCATCTAGCTCCATTAATTTACCCAACATTATATCATTGCACATAGAGTAACTTAACAGCGGTTTTCTTAGAACTTGTATGAGCCCTTAAAGTATCTCACAACAATTCATGTTGAACTCTTGAGGTATCTTCAACCATCTTCTCAATAATATTCTTTAAGACTATATTCATTGCCTCTACACATTTATTAACTGTCTGATCATTAAATTACTATCAAAGTTAGGTTAGAGATATTTTCAAAAGAAGAAGAAGAAGAAAGATTAAAAGTGAAATGTGAATATAATACAAGAATAATATTAGTATTAGTTAAAGTATTACTCTTTTTTCTCTTTAATTTGATAATCTAATCTATACAGCATGTTTGGTTTATGAAATAAAATGATTATTTTATGAGAATTGAATAGAGAAAGAATAAAATAAAAATAATTCTTTTGTAGTTTAGTTCATGGAATGAAATATGGTAAGAATTGCTGTTATGACTTATTTCAATATTTGTTTGATAAGAATAGCTTTGGAATAACTAAAAAATAATTAATAAAATTACAAAAATACCTTTCATAATAATAAAATTTATTTTCATAAAAAACAAAAACACCCTTTATTATAATTTCATAAAATTTCTACCAAAAGTTAAAATTAACCTTGATTATAATTTAATCACATATTTATCTCAAAAAAATAAAAATACCTTTGATTATAATTTACTCATATTTTTACAAAAAGACAAAATTACCCTTGTCTATAATTTTTATTATTACATGTTTATGTCAAAAGACGAAGTTATCTTTGACTATTATTTAATAATATGTTTATAAAAATACAAAATTAGATTTTACTATACTCTAAATAAATTTTTATCAAAAAAAAATAGAAGTTGAATCACCTCTTTTCTATTTCTCTATTGGATTGATTTATTAACATGTTGTATCTTTACATACATAGATTTAAAAACACCTCTTAGGAAGAAGTGAAAAGATTAGTCAAACTATTGATTTTAACAAACATAAGCTATATATTACTTACATTTACAAATTTTGATGAAGTAGTAGAGTAAGTAGTGATCCCTCAAAATATCTATGCTAACATATAATAAGAATAGAAATACCTTGCCCCCATATTATGCCTCTTTCAGTGCCTCATGCCTATTTTTATGTTTGCGTTATGTAGTTTATT